TCTCTCTCTCTCTCTCTTTTTTTTTTTTTTTTTTTTTTTTTTTTTTTACCAGAAAGAGAAAAGAGAGTGAGAAATTAAGGAGACCAGTTTAGTGTTATTGCCGGTACAAATTACCAAAAAAATCTTTACGGTTTCTAGGTGACATTAAACATGAAAATGACTTCCTACACTTTCTGCTATGTGATCCTGGGCTGATGAAGCTTGAAACCTGTATGCAAAACCAAATCTTGACTTGTTGCTGTGTCTTCCTTTTATGGAGAACACTGGTATTTTGAATGGACAAGAGGAGAGACCTGAACAGGTTTAAATGTTTGACTTTGCAAGAATGAATCATGTCAGATGTAGAAGCTGCTTCAAAAAGGTGGTGCTTGGAATAACTATTTTTTTAACTCCACTGTATAGGTGAGCCAACGTTTCCTCTTCAAAGGGGAAGAAAAGGATTAATCAGTTTTAAGACTCGACAACGTATGAGCATCATTGTACCATTGAGCTTACTCCAGGCAAGAAATGTCACCCATCTCTTAGCATTATTGCTGAAGGACACGCTTGTTTGAAAGACCTACAGGTGTTGGTGAACTTTCACAGCCCTTGGTAAATAGTCAATTGTGCTTGTTTTAAAATGTTTGGACCATGCTGCTGTTCTTTTTCATTTTGCTTCCTTCACATTCCAGTCATTTCATCTGGTTAAGCCTGTATTTGCAGGTTATGGATGTCATGACTTAACTCTCTTCTGATAAACTTTGATAGATTTTGTCAGTCCCAAATTCAGGAACTCATTCCTCTTTAGGGAAGCGCTAAAGCATAAGCTTAACTTAAAATTCGATTTGAAATCAGTAGAAATTGAGCATATTTCTGTGCAGTTATTTATTAACAATGTAATTTGAAGCATTTCCTTGCTCAAGATGTTTTCATATTGTGCATTTTCTAGACCCTGAGAATGTAATTTTTTTTTCCTAATCCCACTTTTGCAGAGAGCATCCTCACCTCAGCCTTGTCCAGCCACCCATGCCCATTTAGTGGTCCTCTGCTGAGGTGGTCAGAGAGCCCTGTGAGGTCCAGGCAACACAGAATTTGGACTTTTCCATGTGCTAATTCGCGTTGTGCAGCAGCTTTTCTGGAGCTCCTGTAAATCAGATCACAGGTATCCTGCTCTCAGCTGCCTGTTTCAGTCTCTCCTTTAAGAACCCTGTCACTCTCTCTGAGCTGTAGGCAGCAAAACCACACTTGCAAATTATAGTTCCTTTTCCAAAACAGTGTGTGCCCACACCTAGCTAGGGGTTTCATCACCATTAGATCTCATTTTGATAGCTAGGCTTCCTGTTTTTCAAGCTCAAAAGAGCATTGCCTTAGCCATAGTAGTATTTGCCTTCTGTCTTCATGGCTTGGCTTGTTTTGTAAACTGGACCAGTAGTGGTCACATCAGCTCTACAGACATAAGTGAAGTTCTATTTCCATTGCCATTGTAATCAGAAAATACATATCCTTGTGTCCTCAACGTACCACTACTCAGTTCTATTAATCTCCCACATCATTTTCAAAATCATTGATTTCAAGGCTCCAAGTAGCCTTATGTGTGACTGTAATCCAAAGTCTTTGCTTCTAGATACATGATCTTGATTTGGGCTGCATTAAGTCTATTAAATGTGGACACCGAAGTTTAATTAAATTAGGAAAATGTCAGTTATCTTATTGCTTGGATTTTCCATGTAATTAATAGTTGTCCTTTGTCTGAAATCTTGTAGGTAGAATTACAGTTTTACAGGGAAGTATTTTGCTCCCTGCTGTTTGGCTTGATGAAGGTACCGTGTCTCATCAGTTTCATTTGTTTAAGATAACTAGAAGATTTTAAGGCAAAACATGAGTAACTTTGAGGCTGCTAAAAACACCATCAGCAATTTACTGGTATTATATTAATGGAAATTGGCATAATTTTTTCTGCTTCATCAGTTCCAGAACTTGACTAACTAACCCGAAAAATTCTTTTGCATACAAAACAAACTTCTTAGCTTCATTTACTCTTTTTTTCCCCTGGCTTTTTTATTTTCTTCCCTGTGATTATCCTGAGAACATTTTGAAAGCATACCTTATAAATATGAAAAAGGATTGTTTGCATAATCTAGTATCAGTTCTGAATTTAATGCAAATTCAGATCAAAAAGAAGCAGTGCTAAAAGTGCGGCAAACTTCTATTGTAAATATTTTGGTCCAAAATTTAACTATTTTTTCAATGCATAAATTTATGATGAAAATGCATCTCTGTTTGCAAGAATCTCAGTATCTCATACCCTGATCAAAAGTAATGTTAACTAGAAAGGTGATGCCTTTTCAAGTACAAGAGAGGAAATAAATGTTATACAGCTTAACTGTAACTGAAAAGTAAAAAAAAAAAAAAATGGGATAAGATGCAGAGAAAGGATATTACAAGGACCAAAGAACTGAATGAACTGAGATTCTGTGGTTTAGTTTTCAGATTTTAATCAGCAGTGACTTGATTACGGTATGTTAAGTGCCCTTACATGTAGTAACTGGCTTGTTTATCTAACAAAAAGAGAAGCAATAGAGAACAGCAGGGTTGTCCAGAGGAGATAAAAACCAAAAATAAGGGATACTTTCCTCTTCCAGGAAGATTGGTTGGCAGCTGCACCAAACTGTTGAGGGAGCTTGAAGCATCCTCATCCTTCTGTATGGAAGATATACACCAAACACGAGCGATTGGTCTTAGGGCAGCAGCGACTGGGTAAAATTCAATGGACTACAGAAAAAAGGTAAATAATTGTTTTCTACCTATGAGTTAGAGACCCCATGTTGCAAGAAAATAATTAAGAGATTATCCACAAAAAGGTTAGTTAAGAAATATCTAGGAAATATTGGGAAAGATTTTGCATGGCTTAAATGAGGCTGGTAGTAGGAGAAATTTTGACCTTTTCAGTTCCAACTATTTTCTTCTTTCACACTGAGCTGTAACAAACGTGTTGATGGAAGTATTTAGGTATAAGATTGCTACATGATGTAGATCTTTATTATAAAAGCAGTTGAGGACATATTTTACATCAGATAAGGAGTCATGAGAATGAAATATTTTACTGTCATTTCTTGTTTCTTTATAGTCCATGACTACAATTGAAATATTTCAGAGGATGAATAGTCACAGAAAATGCCAAGGCCACTCAACAAAAGCATTACCTGAGAGAAAAGACATTGGTAAAGGTCTTCCTTCAAAAATATACCCTAACCATCTACCTAGTTTGGAGCAAAGAAGTTTCAAACACCATAGAAAAGGTTTTTTTCTTTTTTTTTTTTTTTTTTTTTTTTTGTTTGCTTCTCTTCTTCAAAGCCAAGCAAATCATTATTGTTACTTGGGTATTTCTGGCATTCAAAAAAATGGTCCATTAAGTAGAAAAGTGACAGATAAGCTTTCAAAAGAAAAATACCACCTGCCCTTAGTAAGTATTTCTAGAACACCTTGTAATTTTACTATCCTGAATAAATATCACCTGACATGGAGAAAAAGTGACCTTGTCTCAAAAGCCCCTGTCAGGAGATGAGGTAATAAAAGAAAGCCCACAGGTATAATTTCTGGGTCTGCCATGGCAAGGGGGAAGTGTCTACAGAAGCAGTGGTGTGCCTGGGGTAGACTTCTCCATCCGAGCTAGAGATGCCAGCCTGCCACTGAAGTCTTGGAAGAAGAAGAACACCAGTCCCTTGCAGATAGGGTGCTGAGAATGTCTAAGGCTGAACAAGACATGGTCCATCCAGTAAGATTATAGACATTTCACTGTATCCCTTTAAGCCCCATTTCCCCCCAGTTTAACATATGTTTAACGCTCTCTTTCTCCTCCTTTACATCTGTTGAGCCTGTGGGCAGCTGGTTACGTCTCTGCACGGCACCGTACGTAGGGGACCCTGCACTTCACTCAAGTCTTCCAAGAGAAATACTAAGACCTCAGTGAAGTAGAAGAATGTTTCTAAACCAGAAAAAAAAATAAATACTGGAATGCCGTTAACTTCCACAAAAGTCAGCTCAAACCATTACACATAGCACAGAGCGAGACCTAGAAAAGACTGCATTGTGTCAAGACACATGAAATAGCCCAGAATAATGTCATATTGGTGCTTTTTATTTGCCAAAAATATCTGCTTTCAAATGCCGACCCTTTTTTTTTTTAATAGAAATTACAACATGAAAATCTTAACAGCATCCTCTGTAAAAATATATATATATTTAAAAATTAGATCATAGATTTGTAGGATGGTTAGAGTTGGAAGAGACCTTAAAGATAATAGAGTTCCAGCCCCCCTGCCATCATATTTTAGCTGAGGGGTTTATGATGGGAGTTGAAATCACTTATGTAATGTCTGGAAACTGTGATAAATAACACATCACAAATAAGTTGTTCAACTGTGATGGTTCCAAAATCTTCAATACATTAAGATGTGTTTGCTCCACCGAGTCCATCACTCTCTTTGGCAAAGGTAACAAGATTTTTGCATTTTAGACCATTTTAGAAAATTACTGTTCAATCTTCCATTTCTACATGCAGTCCCCATTGCTCCTTGAATTGCAGGAGATACATTTCTTGGTCGTCTGATGATTTTTCAGATACCTCTTTCTCATATAGCCTGGGTAAAATTCCATCTTTGTCAGGACTATTGCACTTGAATGCTCTTTCACACACCTGATTTTCAGCGGTGAACAAGGTAGGGATATACAGCCTTCCAGTGTGAGGATCCCAATCTACTAATATGGTCTGTCCATCCTCTTTCTCCATCAGGCCCTGTGCTAGTTGTTCCAGCTGAGGGTAGGATGTTTGCCCAGACTTTTCAGTATCCAAGTCCACCAAGTTGATATGGGTCTCACCTGGCAGTTCATCTCCTGCATCAGCCACCTTCAAATTAAGTTCCTCTATTTTCTGTCCCAAACAAGAGTCTGTTGCCCTCACCTCTAGTTGAGGGCAATATGGCTGTCCTGTTTTTGTGTTAATCAAGTCCTCCAAAGCAAACTGTGGCTCACCTAGTAGTCCCCTGGAGGCAGAGGTCTTCTCTTTCAAACTGAGGTCTTCTAGTTTCTGACCAGGACTGAAGTCTTCAGCCCTTACATCAAGTTCATACTCTACAGCCCCTGCATTTTTCTGTCTCAAAGTATTTTTTGTTCCAGTCTGGCCATAAGATGGCCAGTTCCCAGTTTGGTCTCCTTCTGCTAAAATAGCCTCTTTGCATAAAATCTCTTTGTGTGAAATATCACGCAAGTGTTTTGTTTCCAGCAATTCTTTTGAAGGCACATCCTTCCCTTCGGTGTCACTGTAAACAGTGTAGTAATGGGGTCTTTTCCCTTCTGGGACATGACTGGATTCCTGAGATGGCTTGTACTCATCCACGTTAAGAGTGATAAGGTTGACCACTATTTTTTCACATGGTATGAACACCTTTTCCTTGCACTTGTCAGTGTATTGCCATACCTGGAAAGCAAAAAATATTTTGAGTGAAATATAATGAAAATACCATCTGAACACCCTGCAGCAGTAGCTGCTCTACTCCTGAACCCACAGTCCCTCTGTGAAGGTTCTTCCTCTCACCTCTGTGCTGCTCTAGATTACTTCAGAAAGATCAGCATGTTGAAACCAATTGCCTTGTACCTCCCCATCCCACAGTGTCATGCAGATTGGATTAACATCAAAAGTGTTCATTTATTACTGTAATTGCATGTTTATGCTTGAGTAACTTGTTTAGAGATAACTGTGAGAAAGCTCCACTGGCCTCACGAGCTGGAACCTAATAGTGTTTCTTAGACTTCATGTGCTCTTTCTAAACATTAACTTCGCAGCTCTAAGAAACTTGCAAACGTTTTCACATAGGAAGTATATTTTGTTTGTGTAAGTGACAGAATGCATTTGTTGGTACATTTTTGGCTGTTAGGAAACGGTACAGTACTTGAAAGTATTCTTGAAATCCAGATTAAATTATCTGTATGATGCACACGTGCTAAATCCTTCACAATCCCAATTAAATGGTAGAATGTGGCAGTCCAAGAAAACATCATGGTGCTTTCTGCACTGCTTAATTGTCTTATCTACTTTTTTTTTTTCTACTTTCAATCAATTAGTAACTTTTGTTCCATGAGTGTCTACTGTGCTTCTTCCTAGATCAATTTAGGGAGCACCGAGTTCCTAACAGGACTTGCCTCAATGCACCTCAGACCTTGCTTATGGCAATGACTCTTCCTAAACCAACAGCTCTGTTCTGATCCTCATTAGCTTTGGGTATCTTTTCGGACCTGGGCTTCTTTTTAGATGCAGTTTCTAACTTGAGTTATTAACTCTGTTTTTCTTGCATTTAATAACCCTGAATGTGATGTTCTTTTCTTGATCTGAGTGGCAACTAGAGCTTTTACTTGCAACCAGCCACAGTTTCCTCCCAGGTGACTTGGAGCCCTGGAAAATGCACGGCTCCCCTGTGAGTGCCAAGGTTGGAGGTTGGAGGTTGCAGGACCTCCTGCAGCAGAGAACACTTACCAGGTTTGTTGGATGTTTCTGTTTGCTGACGTGAATATACCTGTGCACACAGTAGCACGTCATTGAAATAGAAAGGACAACAAGCATGACGGGCAGAATGTACCCAAACACCATTGTTATAATCTCATCTGTCGTTTTATCTGTTAACAAAAGAAAAGATTTCATTGTACTGAGCAACTTTTTAATGTATTCAGGTAGTCATGTGCATTCACAACATGATTTTTTTGCATATGGGATGCAAATGTTTTAGATAAGGATTTTGCAAGAAAATTTTAAAAATGACATTTGAGTTACAGGAGAAATTTGTGCTATAAATTAAGTTCTGAAAAGAAGTAACGATCCCTCCCTCAGGTTCTCCTGTTGCTAACTTCTGCCCCCTGACGCAGCTCTGCCATTCCCAGTCCCCATTCAAGGAGAAAACATATTCTCCATCCACTAAGACTCAGAGAACACGGATCCTTTTCTTCAGAGAGACAATCGTGCCTTCCAGTCAGTAGACACCAGCTATATTTTATTAAAGGCAAAATTTTTTTCATAGAATCATTCAGGTTGGAAGAGACCCTTGGGATCATCAAGTCCAACCATCTACCCTACTCTACAAAGTCCTCCCCTACACCATATCCCTCAGTACCCCATCTAAACGTCCCTTAAACACATCCAGGGAAGCACAAACACAGAGAGGGGAGAAACAACACTAGCTTTTCACTCTCAGGATGGATACATAAAAAACCCTTACAAACTCACTCAATGGTTTGTTTTTTTTTTAACAATTTGCATCTTATTTTTTAAATTTGCCAGCTTACACATACCTTACCTTACAAACTCACTCATTGGTTTGGTTTTTTTTAATAATTTGCATCTTATTTTTTTTAAATTTGCCAGCTTACACATACCTTTCAAAGTAGCAATGCAATATTCTTTAGAGAACCCACTGTACAGAAGTGGTGTGGTGACATGGATCTGCGCGCTGACGCAATAAGCTGTTCCAGGTTCTAACCAGGGCACAACCAAGGTGTTGTTGCTGATGGAGAACCACCACTGGAAGACAGAAAAAAGGAAAAAACGTTTTCCCCCCTCTAACTCCTCACTCACAGAAAGGTAAAGGTCTTCTATCCACAATGTATCACAAGCACACAAATTTTCTGGAAAGAATAATAATATGATGTGAACTGCCAGCTGCATCCTTTTTTTCACCCAATACAATTAGGTCACATCCTCTCTGAATACTTTATCTTCCACTCAATTATTCTTCTATCGCTACAGAACAATTTCATGCTTTATATGAAGCAGGACCGTGTACTATCACTGACCCACATTCTCATGCTGATGTTGCAATAGAGCTAAAGCATCACTCCAGCCCTGTCCTGATGCCTGGGCCAAAATCTTTTAAATTGGGATGTTCTGGTAAAGATAAGAGCCTTACAATAATGGGTGTTGGGTAGACCTTGGAATCTAAGGTAAAGTAATTGATCTGTGTCAAACACCTTTATTAAAAAACAAAACAAAACAAAACCCCAAAACAAGCAAACTGAACCTGAGCCAGCAAAGTGCCCTCACTCTAAAGGAAGCCAACAGCATCCTGGGCTGTGTTAACAGGAGAAGAAGGAGCAGATGGAGGGGAGGGATCATCCCCTTCCACTTCGTGCTCATCAGACCATGTCTGTGACCAGTTCTGTTCCCCCCCAGTACAGAAAAGCCTAACAATCTGGAGTGGGTGTAGTAGATGGTCACCAAGACGGTTGGGGCTGGAGCGGTTGCCCTGATTGGGAAGGGTGAGGGACTGGAGTTTGTTCCACTTGGGGAAGAAGGGATGGCTTCAGGGGGACCTAACAGCCAGCCCCAAGGATGACACAGGGAGGTCATCGAGAAGATGGAGCCAGGCTCTTCACAGTGCTGAACGGTGGGAGGATGAGAGACAGTGGACATAAGTTCAAAAAGAGAGTTCAGATAGGGAAAAAAGTGATTCTTTATATCCAAAGACGAAAGTCAAGCAGTGGAAACAGGTTGTGCAGTCTCCATCCTTGGATGTTCTCAGGATGCTAACTGGGCAAAGCCCGAGTGACCTGGTCTGAGCTCACAGCTGACCCTGCTTTGAAGAGAACTTTGGACTAGACACCTCCTGAGCTCTCTTCCGACCTGAATGATCCTAAAATTCCTACCAGGCTATTTCGATCCTTGCTGGGACAAAGTGCATTTTGGGAAGCACAGATTTAAAGGGCACAGTTCTACAGCCTTGTCAGATCTTACCCTCTTCTTTGTCTTTTTGTTGAGGACAGAGATGTTGTATTGCAGCCCGGGATACACCTGAAGCAGAGATACTGATTCCTCCTCAGGACTTCTCTTCCACTTCTCAGGAGCCGTCAGAATGATTGAAATAGACTTCTCAGTAGAAGACACATTTACCATGGGTGGGTCAATTTTAGCTGGAAACACGAAAATGTACAAAAAAACTATCAAATGCAGCAGAGACACACTAATTTGCCCATGTAGTTTCTTAAAGTGGATGATATGAAATTATTTTTTTTTTTTTTTGTGTGGAGTCTCAGTAGGACTTCAAACAATTCATTTATATTGCTAGAAAATTATTTTATCAGATAACTGAGAGGATCTTTACAGTAAGAAGGTGAACACAGACTTGGAATTTTGCCTGGGAATTCCTGTGACTTCGCAAGATAAACAACCTTGAAACTCAATTTGCTAAAACAAGCTAAATTGCCAGTATGTTCTCAGATTATCTGGCACAGATAAGAGATATCATGCTCTAGAGTACAATTACTGCTTAATTTAATAGAGACTTTTCAAAATCAGAGCTGTGGATGTGCCATAGCTTTTATTTGCCTTGAATAAAGCTTTACCATAGCATAAGACAGTATTCAGTATATAAAAGACCGTATATATAGCACATATATCCAAATTCTTTTATGATTATCTCAATTGCTTCGGCCAAAAGCATAAATGTGAGACAACTGCAAAAAAAACCCCCACCAAAATCTCATGTTAAAATTAAAATATCATATGCTGTGAAGGCACGTGCAGTCTGAGAACACAGTATTAATCACAGAATCACAGAATGATTAGAGTTGGAAGGGACCTTAAAGACCATCCAGTTCCAGCCCCCTGCCCTGGGCAGGGACACCTCCCACCAGACCAGGTTGCTCCAAGCCCCATCCAGCCTGGCCTTGAACCCCTCCAGGGATGGGGCATCCTAAGGCCATTGACCATCTGGCTGTGTGATTAGCTTTCCTTACTGTCTGTGAGAGGGTTGAACCGTGTGGTCTCCATCCAGTCAGAGCACATCCCATTCAGGAAGGCTTTCACGCTTGCGTAGTATTGGTCTTCGTAGTCGGAGGTCTCATTGGAGAGGTCACACCATGTTCTGTTGATATTCCTGCATTCTGGCTTTCTAATCCATCTGCCAACACCATATCTATATTGAAAAATAAAGAAAAAGGAGTTGTACAAAAGCTATTGCCATGTTAGTAGTCACCTGACAATATAGCACAGAAACTGATATTACAGCTGGTAAAAGAGTTTGCCTGTTTTGCAGAAATCTGCAATTTCAAGCAATTCCCAACATCAGCTGAGATAAAACACAAGATTTCCACAGGTTTTTAAAATAAAAATAAATCAGAGTAGGCCCTATCCAGAAGAGGCTGCATGGAACTAACTGAGATGTTACCGAAACCAATCCAAGACCGGAGATCTCTCAACTTCAGTCTCCACAGCTTTAGCTAAAATCTAAACATGGGATAACAGAGTCAGGATAACTATTTCTGTAGAGACAAAGCATTCTGTCAGAGTGGTCAGTGGCTCTTCCTGGTGTCTCCTGTCCACTCAACTTGGAGACAGATGATGCCTAGGGTCTCCCAAGATGAGTGGACAGGAGACTACTCTTCACTGACAGGCACTTCTTTTTCTTATTTAAACAAAAACTCCATTGGAATGAATTTCAAAAGATTTCTAGTTGCAAAAGGGGCATATACATGCCACCAACAATGCCTCAGAACTGACCAACTCTTATACGCTGGCAGAAGAAATCTAGGTTTCCTCAGAAAATTCCTGCCTAGATTTGCTCAGAAGTTCCTGCTCCTCAGATACACGTTATGAGGAAAAGAATTGCCCTTTGGCTGCTAATTAGCAAGGGCATGTGGCAGCTTCTACATGACTGCAGGACAGTATCATTCACCAGCATTTTCCACCAAGCTCAAGGTTGTGGTCTCCAGGGCAGATAGAAGCACATAGGAATATTTTTGTCTTCAGAGTGAGAGATGGCCGTAGCTGTGAATAATGACTCTTCCGTGGACCAGCTGACCCTGCAGAGTCAATGTAGCTAGTGCTTTCTGAGCATTCTACCTTCTACACAATTAACTTTCATTCCCTAATTACTGAGCACTCTCTCCTTTTCTAGGAGGTGGACTATATCGCTCCTCTGTGAGTGCATCAAGCAAGAGTTGGGCAAAAAAAGGTTGCAGTCTGTGAGTATAGAAGCAAGCCCTTGATTTTTTAGTAGCCAGTACAAGTTAAAGGAAAGTTATGGAGACCTATATTTGTTTTACTGTCATGAAAAAAATTACTAGACTGAGGGAAGTGTTCATATTAGAGGTAAAGATCAAGAGCATTACATCATCCATGACCACAGGGCTTTGCCTATTTATAAGCCAAACCTCCAGCACTGTCCTGCAGAATCATAGAATGGTTAGAGTTGGAAGGGACCTTAAAGATCATCCAGTTCCAAGCCCCTGCCCTGGGCAGGGACACCTCCCATCAGACCAGGTTGCTCCAAGCCCCATCCAGCCTGGCCTTGAACCCCTCCAGGGATGGGGCAGCCACAGCTTCTCTGGGCACCTCTTCCAGTGCCTCACTACTCATATGGTGGGTGAGAGAATGACCTAGCAAGGCTTTGGAGGGTCAAAAGAAATCTGTGGGAGTTGGGTCTGTTAAAAAAGACCAACAAAACACTGGGTGCTGTTAATATTCTATTGAGGACTACACCTCCAGATCTGTTTGAATGTGTTCAAAAGGCTGATGTGTGCAGATGTTAATCTACAGCACAGTCCTTCTTCATCCTTCTGTCTCATTTCTCAGGAATGCCCCTGAAAGCTTCCATGTTGCATCCTCCATGTCTTTAATAGGAAGTCTCCTCAGAAATTTTTTTAACTGGATCTGAAGCAAGCAGTACCAGAAGTAAAACCATATTGCTTCAGTCTAACCCATATTTTAGTTCTGCTTTCTTTACTTTTTAGCGGCCTTATCCTGCATAAATTTTTTTAAAATTATTATTTAAAATGTTAAAATAGAAGTCAGTAGGGGATAAAATAAACAAGTCAACTTAAAGTCTCCTTTGAAATTTTTTTTAACTGGATCTGAAGTAAGCAGTGCCAGAAGTTAAAGTCATAAACCATATTGCTTCAGTCTAACTCATATTTTAGTTCTGCTTTCTTTACTTTTTAGCGGCCTTATCCTGCATAAATTTTTTTAAAATTATTATTTAAAATGTTAAAATAGAAGTCAGTAGGGGATAAAATAAACAAGTCAACTTACACTGAATACTTCACCTTGTAGAGCACTCCATCTCCTGTGCCTTCTGGTGCTGACCAGTGAAGGACATTCTTCATGTTTATAGATTCAAAATGGACATTCCTAGGGTTAGGCAAAGAACAATACAACTCTCCTGAGAAAGAAAATAAGAAAGGAACAACACACACTAAGAATCTGCAAATGCATATGCTTCCAAGTTAATGAAAAAAGATACTTATTTTTAAGTAAGCCATAAAATTCTACATACTGCCTTTCTTAGCATGAAAAGCACAAGGTTTTTGTCTATGGAAATTCTTTTTTTTTTTTTTTTTTTAAATGTTCCTAGCTAGTGCAGACCAAAATTCCAACTGTCTGAATGTGCTTTTTCTCTAGCAAAAATGGCTTTGTCACTTGTGACGGGCATTGGCATGGAAATATCCAGGGACTGGAAGCTAAAGCCAGAACAGTTCGGCCTAGAAGAGACACCCATTTTTTTAAATTGTAAAGGTATTTTAATATCAGAACAATTGAACAGTGGAAACTGTAAAAATATCCTTGATGCTTCAGTAGAATTCTTGCTGTAGCTGAGTGGGCTTTTAAAAAAATCAAACCAGGTATGTTTTAAAAAGACACAAACAGAGGTATGACTTCTCCAGAAGAAAAGCAGAAGCGCGTTGATTCTCCAGAAAGCCAAAAGGGAACACCTACTCTTAGGCCACTTATCTAAATTGCTGTTCCTTGCACCAGCTTTTGAAACCAATAAACAAGGAAGTCTGGGGGTTTCATTCACATCTTCCTAATGCGCACTCCTAATCCAATAAATTTAATGGAGATGCTCACATTGCTAAATTGCTTGCAAAACGGTGGCCCCTGGGCCCAGGGGCAGAATCCCAAGCTCCAAATTGTGACTCAATCCCCAGCGTCTCCTGCCACGGGAGCTGCTCCCACGGGAGCAACCACGAGACCAACCCTGGAGCTGCAGCTGCTCTGAAAGAGCTTCTCGTGGTGAGGGGCCACAGAGAGCAACGTGGGGAAGAGAAAAAGTCACCCTGGGGTTCTTCAGGACTTTTCAAAACCCTTGAAGCTCCTATTCCAGGGATGGAACTCTGGGTCTTAACGTAGCAAAAAAGAGATGAAGAAAGAGGGAAATAAAGCTCATTGACACAAACAGTGGGAACCTGTCAGAATGAACAGTCCTTGACCTTTGCTACTTCTGTAAGCAGACCTTAAGGGGATTTTTTTAGTACATTTCACTGTTACTAGAGTAATAGTGTTCATCCTCCTGTATAGAAAACGTATAGTTCCTTTTGTAAGTAAAAGTCACCACCATTTTCCTCATTCACTTGCAGCTGTCTTTGAGCCAAACTGTAAAAGCTTTCCTCTGCAATACATTTATTAAAACAATCTCCTTGCAATTCTGCAGAGACCAATTACTTTAAACTGTCTCAGTGGAAACTCTGGGTTTTGCAAGCCTCTAGCTGCATGTTAATGTTCAAAACAAACTCCAGTGTATCCCTGCATCTCTATCTTCAGATCATAAAGCTGTTTATGGAGGGTATTTCTAATGTTGCTCTCTTATCTCTAGTACTTAAGCTACTGTTAAGTGGCTTTCAAATTTTTTCTAGTGGGAGAACAAGTTTCATCATGTATAGTCCTTAGGGCAATCTTATTTACTTACAGAAAGTATGTAGAAAGTCCCATTTCCTTGAACACTTGGACATAGAAATGCCCAATCTTGTAAGAGCTCAAACTAAAGACTCGACTATAAGGAAATAAAAGAAGTCAGGATGCCAGGGGATGTGAAAGCAGCAGAAGTCAACCTCCAAGAATCTGTTTTGCTGTAACATTTGTTTCCAAGAGGGAGATACAGAACCTAGAAAACAAAAGGTTTTGATTTCCCCCCAAATAAACATCCTCTGCAACTGCTTTAGGTAAAACTAATCCAAACGTAAACACCAAGCTGCCCAAGAGAGCCAAGAAAACAGCCTAAAATTTGCAACATCTGTCCAGTAAAATAGAGAAGCTCCAAACCCAATAATGTGCATGCTACTAAGAAGGACAACCCAAAACCAGAATTACACAGACTACAAGAAATCATCCATGCATGAAGTTTCATTCTTTGTACCACATCCCAGCACTGAAGTATGCGAGACTACTGGAAACCCACCAACTGCACAATCAATAACCGTGAATAAGAGATTAATAAACATAAACATAAAATCCGAAGTCACACAATCCTGCCCAAACCCTGAGAAAGGCAACCAGGCAATCTGTGTAGAAACGGAGGGAGGGCCTGAGGCACAAACAAACTTTCTGCTGCAATTCCCAAGTGGGAGGAAATACAATGCGGGTATTTTCTTAGATTGCTGGCAATCAAAGCCATGAAAGGCTTGTCATTAAACAACAATGAGGAAAAACTAAAAAACCCAACCAGAAGAGATTTAAGAAAAAAAACCCAGAGTCTGAAGGAGAATACAGTATACACTGCGTGGTCCAAAAACCTCCAGAGGAAAGATTTAAAAAATTCTAGCCCTTAAACAGCAGCAGATGAGGAAGAGACTTGCCTCTGGTAACCTGGGCTCTGAGCAAGGCATCTACTTTGCAGTGGTCATAAAGGGCAGAGGAAGATAAACTCTTCCATAGGTTGGTTCATCTCTCTATAGGATGGACCACACTGGGTGCATCTTCCTCTCTCCAGTGTAGATGGTGGTCAAGCCCATCAGCCTTGACCTCTGCTTCCTCGGCAGTTGAAATTTTCAGAGATGCACTGTGCAGGGAGGAGTGACAGAGAACAGCCTAAGTCTTCAAATGAGAAGGAGAATCTATTCTCCACGTCCACCATGAACAAGGAGGAAAAGGCATGGAGTTCAACAAGAAAGGAGGCATTGGGAGTAACCCCTTGTGGGAAGAGGAGCAACACGTGAGGACAGATCACCTCGGAAGGCTGCTGGATGTTTCAAAGGGCAGATTAGAAAAACATCTGCCAGAAATGACACTAATTCAGCTGATTCTGCTAAAAACATTCCTACTAGCTCACTTTTCATACCCTTTTTCTTTAATAGTTTTTAAAATGTGTAACGCTTATTGGGCTAATCCATAGTCACCAAATTGACCTGGCTGGAGGCAGCCAACTCATCATTGACAAGGGAAATTTCTTCCTTTGGTTTTCTGAACAGTTTTTGTTTGCCTGCACATTTCTTGTCATAGAACCATTTCTATGGTTCACTTTGACATTTCTATGTCATAGAACCATTCCATGATTTGTCCATCCTTGCACAAAAGCATTTATATTCCTCCAGCACATTTTAAAGTAGCAAGAGTCATGCTTTTGTCTGTTACATTAAAATATTTTAAAAATAGTGACATGTAAAAGTGTTTTTTATCTTTTTTTTTTTTTTTTTTTAAATTTCCCTCCTCCCAGTGTGGTTTCTGCTGTGGTAAATGAAGTTTCAAAACAGAAACACTGACTGCAGCAGATGAGCCAATCTCAGCACGCAGAACCCACAGGCTATATCTTTACAAGATCTGAAGCACTACGAGGCTGCCTGTGAGCTCCCCCCTGCCCCCAGCTCAGCGTGATATGGAAGGCAGAGGGGTTGAGACCGTTAACTTTCCATTAGCTGCAAAAGCAGAGATTTGTTTTCTATTGCTGGTCTCGCCCCTTTAGTAAAGGCTTCTGTTTGCCCTTAAGACATATCGTGCCAGTTTTTTATTCCTCAAGTCTGTATCTGTCAAACAAGAAAAAAACTACCATAGAATAGAATCACAGAATGGTTTGGGTTGGAAGGGACCTTAAAGACCATCCAGTTCCAACCCCCTGCCACGGGCAGGGACACCTCCCAGTAGACCAGATTGCTCAAAGCCCCATCCAACTCATCCAGCTTGTCCTTGAACACTTCCAGAGATGGGACATCCACAACTTCATTGGTAACCTGTTCCAGTGTCTCTCCACCCTCAGCGTGAAAACTTTCTTACTAATAGCCAAACTAAATATACCCTCTTCCAGTTTGAAGCCATTACCCTATCATTGTATCATTCATTCCATACTCCCCTGTTTCTTCAGGAACAGTTAAGAATAGGCTCCTTCACGTCTGTTTGACACTCAATAGTATCAGGAGGCTTACGCAGAAAATAGATCATACATAGAGCTTGGATGTTCGATGGTTATCAGCCAGAAAAGGACTCAGGCATGTACATCAGCTGCTTATTTTGGTATCTTGTCTTTAAATATCTTGTTCTTTATAATGAGAGTGGTGAGACACTGGAACAGGTTGCCCAGAGAGACGGTGGAGGCCCCATCCCTGGAGACGTTCAAGGTGAGGCTTGATGAGGCTCTGAGCAATCTGATCTAGTTAGAGATGTCCCTGCTGACTGCAGGGGGGTTGGACTAGATGACTTTTAAAGGCCTAGTCCGACCCAACACACTTTATGATTCTATTCCAAACACAGTATCTCCTGCTATATTCTGATTTTATTTCCAATAACCGGGATTAATGGCATGGGTGTCACATGAAGTATTTTCAGTTCGTACTGGCCTTCATGAGAGCAGAAATCAGTCATCCATGTTGCTTTGCTAGGTTTAGTCTGTCTCAACAACAGCCTGCAATGGCTGCCATCGCTTCACAGTATAACAAAGTCACTTTATTTCTTGCATGGAAAAACCTGGAGCCCTGATTACTGTCTTTGGAAACGCTGTAAATCAAACCTCGAGTAATATCATTCGTTACATCTTCATGACTCTGCACACCTGGACTGGAAAGATAGTAATAACACGGGCTTGCAAAATTCACCACCACAACGAAGAGCCAAGTCCTGGTCTTACAATAAACTATTGTGAGACTTCTCCAAAACAGTCATGGCTTAGCCCGAAAACACCTTCACGTGTGAGCGAAAAAACCCACTGACGTCAGTGAGATGATTATTCACATCAGTAACAGACTGCATGGCAGGTGCCTCATCTTCTCTTTATGAAAGTGTCTGTTGGGTTTAAAAAAACTGGTCAGTTCTAATCGCTCCGAGCTCCCTGCCAGCCACGTGCCTTGCTCGAGTTGCTACTCTTCAGAACTCACTTTTCCATATCTATCTGTCTACAAACACATGCATACACACGCATATATATACAAATATAAACATAAACACGTCTTTTCCGTGTTG